CAGCCCTGCTTTCCTTCCTTTGGGGCTGAGAGCCAGGAGACCTCACGAGGCCCAGCCATGTGAGGCCCCTTCCCTTCTGCTGCCTCAGGCCCCACTGACTCAGAGCCTGGCAGCTGTGGTCCCCACCCCCTCCAGGGGTGCATGTACCAGTGAAGGCTGGGTGGGGCGGAAGCAGCCAGAGCTGAATTCCTTGGCACCAGCCAGGCTTCTCCTGTGTGGGTAGGGTGGGAATGCCTTCCTATCCTTTGTCCCATAATCAGATGTCTTCTTTGAACAGTAAATTGCAGATAATTTCATGAAATAGAACATTCTCTTAAGGTACGATTTCCATGGCTGCAAAAAAACTGCTTATCATGACTTAGCTGCCCTCTTCTAATTGTTTCCAGATTCCACGTGGCAATAGGACCTCCTTGTTTAAACATCTTTCCTTTCTCTCTCACCAATTGTTTTATCGCCTGTGGAGAGGTGTTTGTGTCCAATTCCGTGGGTGAGGACTGTGAAAACTGTAAGTGATCTAGAGAGATGAATGTGGGCTAAAGCAAGCTGGTGACACACAACCAGTGAACTCTAAAGGGTCACTTGCATTTTCTCCTGACTCTGACTGGAAAAGAACTGAGACTAATATTGCCTCATCTCTCAATATAGGGGAGTCAGAAATCAGGCTGGGACGGTACGTCAGAACCTCAGCTGCCCCACCTGGGCACATCAGTGCAGCCCTCAGCTGTTAACTGCAGCAAGCACATTTTCTGATCAAGAGAGAAATTAAAATGCACTCAGCTCATTTGAGTATATGAGGTCATGAGGGTCTCTCGAACCCTTCCGGATGGAAAGATAAATCCATAGAACAACCTCATTGAACTTTGCGGAAAATAAGAAAGTTGAGCATACACCCCAAGACCCAGCAATTCCGCTTCTGGGCGTATTCCCAACACAATTCAAATAGTCCCAAATAAGTATAAATGAATAAAATGAATTTGTTTTGTATCTTGATTGTGCTTCTAGTTTACAGTTGTCAAAACCCACAGAACTGTAACATTCAAAAAGGCAAATTTGACTACATGTAATTTATACCTTAATTTTAAAAGCTTAAAAAACAAGAGTCAAATAAATAAATCAGCTTTTGTTGATATAGCCACACTGTTATACTACACAACAATGAAAGAGAATAAACTACAGCTACCTGTAGCAACAGCATGAATCTCAAAATCATGCTGAGGGAAAGAAACCAGACACAAATGAGTACAAGCTGTTAGGATTCCATTTATATGAAGTTCAAGAGCAGTCATAGAGGTCAGAAGATGGGTAACCTCCACAGTGGGAGGTTCAGAGGAGGGAACATAAGGACACATCCTGGGCTGTTAAAAATGTGTGGTGGCCTCAGGTTTATGATGCCTGTGCCCTTTATGGAATCTCCCTCAATTTAAAAAGAAAACTTTTTTTTTTTTCTGTCACTGTGAAAGTTACCCAATGAAGAATTCAGACAGACACTTCCTCTCACTCCACCCCCTCCACAAGACCCCACTGCTCCCCACCCAGCCCCACGCAGCCCTTTAACCATAGGAACCAGGGATATGTGTGGCTTGCTGGCAGGCTTCTCACTGCTGGAACTCTGGCTCCGCCCTGGCCTAAGCAAAACAACCTTTAAAACGGGCTGGCAGCCCAGGATTTTAAACGGCTGCCCTGCCTCATCTGCTTCTCCTCCTGAGTATCCAGTAAATTGAGCTTCTCTGGTTGGGGGAAGGGAGGTGGAGGCACTTCTACCCCTAAGTCAGTGGCCCAGGGGCCCAGGTTTGCGCCTCCCTCAGGAGAGGAGAAGTCAGTTGTCAGCAGTTTCTAATTGGGGAAGAAGTTCTGTGTCTGCAAATGAGCCTCATACCCACCTGGTGGCCTGGGGAGATGGTGTGTGTCAAAGTGCCTGGGACACACCAAGTGTTCTGTGGCGCCTGCACTGACTCTGCTAGTGGGTTATGAGGACAGACATGGCCTATTGCTCCCTCCTCCCTGTGCGGCCAGGTTCAGACACTACTGTGACTGGGATGAGGACACTCCCCAAGCTGGCTGCTCAGGGACCAAGATGGGAGGTGAGGGACTGGAGTATACTGTCTGCTGTGTGACAAGTGAGTTACCAATCTGAGCACCTGGCAGCCTCCCCTCTCCTCTATGAGCACTGAGTGGAACAGTCTCAGCGTGACAGCACTCAGGGCCGCCCAGCTGGTTTCCCTTTCACCCAAATACTCAGCTGCCTGCTCAGTAGGGGCAAGGGAAAAGCCTTCTGGAGGTTTTAGGACCCCTTACCCATGGCACTGTGGGTTAATGCGCCAGACTGAACTGCAAGCTGTTTGAACTGCAAGGGGGGTGGTTCAAGTTCTCAGAAACCCTAAACAGGGTCGCTATGGGTCGGAACCAACTCCACCAAGCACTTAACACTCTCTGGGAGGAGTCCTGGTGTGGCACTATGGGTTAATGCACTGGACTGCAAAGTCAGTATTAATTGCAAAATCAGCGGTTCAAGCTCACCAGCTGCTCCTCAGTAACCCTATACTGGACTGCTATAAGTCAGAACTGACTTGAAGCACTTAACTCTCTGGAAGCTGTGGTGTAGCACTGTGGGATAAAGCACTGGGCAGCAAGGTCCATTTGAACCACAAAGTAGGCAGTTCAAATTCACAGGCTACTCCTTGTAAACCCTATCAGGGTCACTATGAGTCAGAATCAACTCAATGGCACCTAACTTTCTGGGAGTCCTGGTGTGGTGCTGTAGGATAAACACTGGACCACAAGGTTGGTTTAAACAGCAAGGCTGGCAGTTGCTCCTTGGAAACCCTATACAGGATCACTGAGTCAGAACTGGTATTTAACTCTATGATCAGAACCCATGATATCTGCCCCCACTTTTTGCCCTTGGAGTATGAGAGATCTAGTATAAGGGACTTTAGGACAACCATACTTTAAACTCAGCCTGGGAAACTGGAGTCCTGTTGCTCCAATAGGAAATAGCCTTCATTTTGCCACCTGCAGAATGGGGTGAATAATCACTGCACCATCTATTTTAGACTGTAGATGAACTTTGAGGCCAGTGTGTACTTTGTATGCAAATGACTCTCCTTACAATCAAAGAGCTTACATTGGGGGATGGGGAGTTGCATTGGAGGATGGGGGGGTTCATGGGATTGAAGATCATCTGCAGTGATAGTCAGAGGAAATGTCCTCAGACCCCTGAGAAGGGCCCTCTCAGATTGCCCCTTTCCCACTCAGTCTTGAACTTGGAACCTCCTAGGTGGTAGACCCCTCTGATGGGTGCTAGGAATAGTGAGAAGGAAACCATTTTCCTGACAGTACAGGGAAACTGAGACTGAAAGGCCTAAGAGATGGGGGGAGTGTGCTCTGAGTGGCACAGGATGGACGAGGGGCTTCAAACAGTTCTTGGAAAATTCTGTTATCTTTTAATTCCATTTTTCCATGAACTTTTTGATGCCCCACTCTTACATTTCTCAAGAAAATGCAAAAAGCAAAGTAGGGAAGACTTGGCTCAGCAAGAGGTGGGGGATGAGGTTAGGAAGGGTCCAGTATGTCATGCCAGGAATGTGGAGTTGGTCCTGAGGGTTATTTCTGAGGAAAGGGGTGACTGGGTTACTCTTGCTTTCTTGGTACAGAGTATAGGAAGGGTGAACCCAGAGGTGCTTGGGTAGCAAGGTGAAAAGAAGGGGGAGCTGAATCCAAAGAGTATCTTCCAGGAAATCAGGGGAAGGTGGAAGAGATCATGAGACCACCCACCTCCTCCTCAGGAAGTCTTCCAGCCTGCACTCCACACCCATCCTAACTATCTGGGCCTGTTGTGGTCTTGTCCATGGGCTGCTATTCCTTATGCCCACAGAGAGAACACGGTGCTTGGCAACTCAACTTGGTCAGTGCTTTATTGAATCAAGGCCCTAACAGATGACGTATATCAGGGGCTTCAAGCACAGCCCTTCTCACATCTTGAAACTCAGAATCCAGGTTGTGCCGTCCTTGAGTTAGCTTCTTGAATACTTCCAAAGCGTGTGAAGATTTTTGTCCACACAGACACATGTCCTGCTGCCACAGGCTGTCACACTCACCTAAGTGCTTCCACCCAGCTTGTTTATGCGCACATGTGTGTGCAAGACAGTGTCCGTCCATTCATCCATCCATCCCCTTACATGCCTCCATGACATAATGACAGCAGCAAGTTCTGGCCAGCCAGGCCCTGGGTTCACAGTAGTGGGGGTTGGGCTTTCAGCTCGCTCAGGATTCAGGCTTTAGTCCTCAGCCGGTGGGAGGGGGGTAACCCTAGGATATCAACATCCTTTTCAGAGGCAACAGAAGATGGAGCTAAATAGGTCATTAATATTTGTGTCTCTAACCCCAGCCAGCTAGAGGGGGCTGACACCTCAGCCTGAGATGGGCACACACATACACACACACACACAGAAAAAAAGACAAACAAATCAAACCAAGTAACACTGAAAAGGAGACAGTAAGAGCTTAAGTTTATGCTGTAGGTGTGTGTATGGAGGGACAGGAAAAATGTAAAAAGAGGGGAAACGGCAGAAACAGCCCATGATTCCTGAGGACGGGAGGCATGCGGGGGGCTAGAATGCTGACTCCCTGTGGAGGGCAGAGAGTTAGGTTCTGGCCTGGCCTGGGAGGCTCAGAGAGACGTGGTGGCTCTCCCCTATTCTCATCTAACATACAAACAAAGCCCCAAGAAAGAAGGGAGCTTTTCTGGACATAGGAAGACAAAGGGTTAATTCAAAATACGAAGAAAACAAGCAAAAAGTCTCCTATTAAACACAAAATACTTCCTTTGAGCTGGTCTTAATCCAAATCAATCCAGCAGGCTGGACTCTTGTACAGAGGCTGGAATGGGGGCAAGGAGGAAAAGTGACTGAACTGAGACTAGGAGGACAGGGTTGAGGGCAGGGCCTCCAACAGGCCCCCAGCCCCAAAGGCCCACTGGTGGCTTCCAGGCAGGTGGACCCTCACTGATCCTGCAACCGGCTACAGAGCTCCCGCCGGCTCCTCTCCCCAGCCCAGCTTCGTGTCTTAAGGCGGAAGGTCTTTAGCTCCTCCTTGAAGGCCTCATGGTTCATGGGCCGGTAGTCCTGGGGCTCACAGAAGTTCTAGGGCAGAAAAGAATGGGAGAGGTCAGCCAACACTGGAAGTAAGAGACTCTAGGACAACCCCCACTACCACCCCATATACCACACCTTCTCCTTCTCCCAGGGTAACAGCCTGCCTTAGCCCTTTCCTTGTGGTTGAGCCCTCCCATGGAGACTGAGGCCACCCCCAGCCACCTTACCGGGTGCTGTGGGAAGAACTCCTTGTAGCCGCCTTTGAGGATATACATCTCAGGATAGTGGAGACTGGGATAGTCGTTAGTAGCACGGTCTCGTTCCCGGATGAATCGGCACCTGGACCACATGGGAGAGGGAGGGTCAGCACTAGGTATGCAGTGGGAAGCTCATCTACTCCTTTGATGGCCCTGGAGAGCCCCAAAAGGCTCCTTAGCACAGGATTGTCAACCCAAAGAACATGTTTACAAGACCAGTCTGACTCCTGGGTAGGAGGTGAATCAAATGGGCCCTGTTCCTAGAAGGTTGTATACCATCTTGGTTAGAGGTAGATAAGGCCTGGACTGGGGAGGAGAGAGATGGACAAAATCTAAGTGGTACACTCAGGAGGCTTCCTGGACAAGACTTGATGGTAACAAGAAATGGGGAAAAAAGATAAAAGGAAAGAGGAAGGACCCAAGATCAGTGCCCGGTGATAATGTCTTGACAGAGGTGGTGCCATGTGCAGAGGTGAGGATCTAGGAAGACAAGGGAGGAGCAGCAATAAAAACCTTGGTTCTAGGAGTTTGTAAGAAGCATCTGGGTGTATGTGACCAGCTCCTGTGAGAGGCCTGCGCCAGAGAGCTACTAGCAATTGGCTGGACCAGGTAGGACACCGCAGGCCCAGGTCAGGGCATTTAAAAATGAACTCAGATCTAGGATATACCCTTTGGTTGATTGATGATACATGGAGGGGATTGGAACCATGGCAATGAGATGATATACGATGGAATGAATGTAAGACTAAGGTTCTCCCATGTAAACTATCATATAATTCACAATAAAACATTTTTTAAAAAATGAACTCAGAGCCCAGAGAGGAAAAGGCAGCCTGGATTTTGAGAAGGATACTGCTGGAGATTTGTAACCAGATTCCATGGGGGTGGCAACAATGGAAGAGAAGTATAAGGCCAGAGGGGAAGAATGGTGATGGGAAGGGATGAAAAGAAGGTACACACTGGGCACAGTACATACAGCAGGTAGGGAGGAATGCTCATCTCAGGCCAACAGATGAGGCGTAAAACCCAAGCTGTGGAGGGGCTGGGCTCTTGGCCAACTCACATGCGGGGCCCGCGCTCAGACGAAAATTCACAATGGAAGATGAGGAGGATTCTCTTGTCCATGTTGCAAGCTGTGATGGGACTCTGCAGCAGGAAGCTCTCGGCATCCCGTTCCAGGGGGAGGTTTACGGCTGTCTGCAGAGGAGCTGGCCATCAGATCACATCCGAGGTCCAGGAAGCAGACCCTTCCCTTTGTATTCCTGGGTCATTATATCCCCAAGGAGACCCTGAGCAGAATCCCTCCCTCATGAGACAGTGCACCCACCCTCCAACTAACTATTCACCCTCTCTGCAGAGGAAGAAGTTGACTGTAGTGGGCCTTGCAGGGTCTCTCCTCCCCACCCCCACCCCTGACACTCACCTTGATGTGACCACCTTCATATTCATAGGGGTATCTGCAGTCCACAATCACAAACCTCTCCACGATGTTGCTAAACTTGCCCATGAGCAGGGCCACCATCTGTAAGAGCCCACAGAGGTAGGTCTCAGCAGGTTAAGCTGGTAGCCAGGGGCTGGGCTTACCCTGTGACTGACCTAGCACACACAGAGTGCCTCTCAGAAAGGGTTCACAGTTGAACAGTGGCCCTCTGCTTATGCCAGGCACCATCCCTGCTTACCGTTTCTGGTGAGATGTACTTGAGGTCTTGATGTTTCCCATCTACAGTCTGCAGGAGGAAGGCCTGTAAGGAAATCCATTAAGAATGAAAAAAAAGAGGGGAAATAAATAGAGAAAGTGAAATTAAGACTAGCAGCCCAGAAAGAACAGAGTTTCATTCCTGAAGCCCAAAGGCCACACCTACTCAGCCTTCAAATTCAACTCTGGTTCCCACAGTGACTGAGAGGGGCCTCTTGGGTCTGATACCCAGGGAACAACCGTCCAAGAGAAAATGAAGATGGGGAGTAGAAGACGTATCCAAGGTCAAGGGTGAGGCACTCCTGCCCAATATCTAGTAAATTAGATACTGATTTGGAACCAGTCATGGCCTGGTCAGAGCTTGGGTCAACTCAGGAGACTAAGCAGAGCCAGAGGGAGGAGGCTACATGAGAGCTAAGGATGAAAAGAGGCAAAGAACAAAGAAAAGAGACTTCTGGGGAGACATGGAGGAAACCTCCCTGGGCTTGGGGGTCCATAGTCGAAAAAGGTCAAGCCCGTATCTGTAGGAAAAGGCCAAGCTTTTAAAGACATTCACCAGCTGGTACCTTGGAGTAGTCTCCAATCAGCTCCCGGTGATCACTGTCTAGAATGTTCTCGATCTCGTCATGACACAGGGACTTGGAGCGGAGGACGCGGGCTTTCTGGGAGGCAAAGCAGATGAGGGCCAGAGTCAGAGGTAAGGATGGTGCCCCAGTGCCTTCCTGACATTCCCAGGCCACCACACTCTTGGAAAACCCTTCCCTGGAAAGCTTAGCAGGATGGAATTGGAAGGTGGCAGTCCAGGTGGACCCTGGAGGTGGGCAGGGACATCCCCACCCCCAGCACAGGCCACTCAGAGCCCGCAGGAAGAAGTCACTCACGGGTTCCTCTGGTTCCAGCTCCTCCTCTGGCGGGGTCACACTCTTCCTCCGCTTGTTCTGTATAGGAATGTCCTTGTCCTGCGGCCGCTCCAGCCTCTTGAGGATGGGCCGGATGGCACTGCACGGCATGGACGGAGAACGGAAGAGTCGATGGTACTTGTTGTACATGATGAGGTCCTGATGGCAGCAGGGCAGGGGTTAGAGTCAGCAGTCCCCCACAACCCCACCCTCTAAAATCTGAGGGAGGCACCACAGAGCCCTACCTGCTCCTCTTCCTTTTCCAAGGTCTGGACCAGTGGGGCGCTAATGAGGCTCTCCATGCCTGGGGGGACCTCACTGTCATCCTGGAACCAAATCAGCAAAGAGTGATCAGACTGACAGCCATAGGCCAGGCCCCTCAGGTCCCCCAATCCTCCTGTGCAGCCTCTTTGTTCCCCAACAGAGCCAGCTTTAGCAGGCCTTCCTGGCCCTACTCACATCCCCACAGGGCAGCCCTTCACAACTGTGGAGTTGAGAGAAACCATTTTATGGGTAACCTCCCTCTTGGTTTATACAGGGCATGAGGGGGCCAAGCCTTCCCTTCACCCTGCCTGTCTACCCTCCACTCCAGTACCAGTCTCCTAGCCAGAAGTCCAGCTCCAATTCAGTCACTTCAAATTCTCCTTCTGATGCTGGATGAGGTCATAGTGTTACAGTGGGAGCACAGTGCTCTCTTCTTTGGGGAGATCCCAGGAAGGGAGAGGGGAGTTGGTACCTTCAGATCATTCTCCAGGATCTCCACAAATCCATCATCTTCCTCAACAGCTCCCTCCATGGGGGTCACAGAGGAACAGAGTCGGGACAGGGGACTCAGTTGTTCCACTTCCATGTGGCACTGTCCAGGGCTGCGGCACTGTCCAGAGACAAAACAGATAAAATGTGCTCAGGATGGCAGTGCCTAATCCCAACTGCCCCCACGTCAACCCCTCAGGGCTCAGAGTCACCTTCCCCCCACCCCCAGGCTGCAAGGGGATCAGCCCTCCTGACATACCATCAGGTCAGGGGCTGAGTTCGGCCTCTGGGCAAAGAATTCTCTGTGGTCAGCCCCCTCAGCCACAGCCTGAGGGTGGGTGGTAAGCACTGGCTTCCATGGCATCTTGAAGACAAATCTATCCTGTGGACAAGATTGAGGGAGGGGTGTGATGGGACAATCTTCAAATGCCATAGAGCCACCTCAGTGTTCCCCCTTCTGTCCCTAGAGTTCTCCCTTTCCCAGCCTTCCAGAAACGCACATTTTCCTTATCTTCCCCAGAGCTATTGGAAGCTCTGCTGCCTGCCTCGGTGCTCCTCCTCCGGCTCCGGCTATACGACGCTTGGGTGTTGGTGATATTGCGGAGCACAGGGCTGTGGCCCAGAAGCCTCACCTAGAGAACAGGGTGGGCAGGTACTGAGACTGAATTGCCCAGTGCCAGCCCAGGCATGCCTTCTGCCACCCCTCTTTAGCATGTCTATCTGCTGCTGGACCCCTAGCTCTCACAGCCGGGCCAGGGATGCCCAACTACTTCAAGTCCACCCTTCTGGTAGGTGACCTGGGAGGAGGGGAGGACAAATCAGCAAAGATGTGGTAGAGGCAAACCACAGCACAGGCCAGACCCCTGGGGCCTGGAATTCTCTTGTGCAACCTCCCTCCTGCCCCTCCCCAGGCCTGTCCTCAGAGCACTCACTGGCAAGGACTGGATACGTCTGATGGAGAAGGGCTCGCTGCAGACAGAAATGGGGACTGGTCAGGGCTGGGAGAGTAGACACTAGGACTCAGAGCCCCTCCCAGTGCCACCCAACCATAAATGAGGAAGGCCTAGGGACACTCACTTTCGAATGACTCGGCTGGCTGCCTGGATGGCTTGTTCAAACCTAGGGGAGAGAGGGGGTCCCATGCAGTCCACCTTCCTCTTCAGCCCACCCTAACCCCAAGTCCCAGACCATAGGGTTTTTGGGACAGTGACAAAATCTAGGACCAGTGGAACTGAGGGGTAAGAAGAATGCCAATGCCCAGGGAGCCAGGCACTGGAGATGAGAGGCAGCCTAGGACTATAAAGCAACCCTAAGTGGAAGAGGTTACAGAGAATGGCTGTGGTAGAGACAGCTGGGGCAGGTCGCAGGGTCACTGAGGCGTCACCAAGGCAACAGTCTCTCCAGCTTGCCCGCAGGCCTTCCACCTGTATGCAAATTTGCCTTCATGGGGCCATATGGCCCCTAGGAGAGGCATCCATCCAGCCTGCAGATGACAGGCCCCAGCCAGTGACAATGCTGGAGTCTCTAGGGCCCTGGATGCTAGCTAGGCTGGCTTACATCCCCTTGGCCCTATCCTACCCCTACCCACACCCCCAATCCAGGGTTGGAACCTAGTTTAATGTGCCCCAAGCTGCCACTCCAGACACCCTAGTGACAGATGCACTGGGTCACATCTTCTCCTCCTCCCACCTATGGAATTTTCCTGGACCCAACCTCTGTCCCACCCCCTCCTTCTGCCTTTCAAGAGGCCAGGAATTCCGACAGATGTTCCCTTTGAGGCTAGGGCATAAGCTTTCTGTATATAGTACCCGCCCCCCCACCCCCACCCCAACTATGTTACTGGAGACCACCTGCCATGCAGGCCTTTGTGCATGTGTGCACACACACACAACCACCTCTTTCTGAGAAAACTGTGTTTAACCGTCAAAGCAGGTGCAGAGGTGGGGGAGGGAGAGACTCAGAGCTACAGTGTCAGAATGGCCCCAAGGTTGAAGCTGTGCCTGGTAGTCCTAGCATTAGAGATTTTCAATATTTCAATTGTTTGGTTGCCAATCTGCAGCTGGGTCTTAGAGGTAAGGCAGGTTCAACTTTGACTGTACTACCACCAAAACCTAACCGGCAGCTCTCCACCCCACCACCCCCAACTCTCTCCCTGTTTCCTGTTTGTGAACCAACCCTGCAACCCAGCCCAGACTGATAAAGGGTAATAGAGAAAAGACAGCCTCTGCCCTACCTCAAAGCCAATTTCCCAGCTCAGGTTGGGGATGCCCAGCTGTTCCTACTAATGGCTGGCAGCTGTTCCCCCTGCTTGAGCCCTAACAGCTGGATATAACAGCTGCACTCTGGAAGGTACTAGCCACATGCCATGGCCAAAAATGAAAGGGATCTCTGAAGAGAGCCCCAGCAGCTCTCTCCACTCCCTCTCACAAAGGGCTTGGTCCAGGGATTGGCTAGAAAGCCAAGAGTCAGATATTGCTGATGGTCAACAGCCAAACCAGCCTGTAGACAACTGGATTTTGTTTGGCCTAGAGTGAGTTAACAAAACGGAATTAATGGACTACATTTTTAAATCGTGATATGTCACAGAAGTAATCTGTATAGGCATAAAGAAAGATAAGACATGCACTGGACCCATGCTCCCACATGGCAAGGGCTGGCTTAGAGTCAAGTGCAAGGCTGCTCCTAGCAGGCACTGTCCCCACCACCCTTGGCCCTGAGATGGGGCCAGAATCATGGAGCCTGAGGAGGTCCCTGAATTGCCCCACATGGGTCTGTCCACTTTATCATCGCCAGTGAGTCTGCGCTAGAATTGGGATTCTCAAGACAGGCAGCAACTCCTTAATGTAGGGTCTCCCTTCTCTACTCACGTCTGTTCTGCCATCTGGGAGTCCATGGGACTGGGGGAGTCCAAGTAGAGACCTGGGGGTACAGTACACTTTAGTTTGAAAGTAGTGGCATTTCCTGCACACTTTCCCGACCACAGTCCATTTCTAATTCATAGAATTAATGGGGTAGGAAGAGACCGTTTCTACTTAAGATCTTGACACATTTAAAAAATGAAACAAAAAGCCACCCATGGACCCTAAAAGCTGGCACATGGTCCTCCATGCCTGTTTATTAAGAAAACAGGACCCCCTTTGCCTGTTCATTAAGAAAAGCTCTGTGTTTTAAACCACAACACTTGCTAAGCATTTTCCTTAAACATATTCAGAATAATTTGTTCCAGAAGGATAAATGGTGTTTAAAGAGAAGAGCTACAGCTTAAGGCAAGAGGTTATGCAAAGACCAACTTTCAGCCCAGAGCACCTCCTAGGTGGGGCTGTGGTTCAGCGCTCTGGGTGCCTGGTTTAAGATCTCATCTCCCGCTTAGAGCCCCACCCTCCGGATCAGTCAGTCTGGGCTGGGTGTGGTGAGACCAACAGCGGTGTGTTTTCCTCCCAGATGAGTGGGCAGAGGGGGAGACACCAGGTCCCACCCAAGGCGACCTACTGCTATTCAGCTGGCATTATAGTACAGGGTAGAACTGCTGCACAGGGTTTTCAAAACTAAATCTTTACAGAAGCGGACAGCCTAGTTCTTCCTCGGAGGAACAGAAGCTGGTTTGAAAACACAGACCTTTTGACTAGCAGCCCAACACTTAACTCATGGTGCCACCAAGGATGAGCAAGGAGGTTGGGAGGCTCAGGCAGTGCCCACAAATTCTCAAGGCACTGAGGAGATGGGAGGGGGGCCCCCTGGGCCTCACCTGCATCAGAAGCTTCAGAAGACTCAGAGGACAGGGAGGACTCAGATGACCTCCGGGGCAGGGACAGGTACTTCAGTCTACTTCGACTGCGGCTGCAGTGCAGGTTCCCTACTTGATTCCTTGGGGTCTCACTGGGAAAGCAGCAGGGACCCAGAGAAGGAATAAAGGTAAATGTGGGACTCGGGGGCTGGCTATTCCATGTTCCAGCCCACCCCCATCCCAAAGGCCTCTGCACTGTCCCAGGGAGATAAGCAATCAAGGATAGCTTATTCTCTTTGCAGACCAAGACAGGCTCATCCTACAATGGACTTAAGTTCCTTCTCTTTGTGTGGTTGGTTTAGGAAGTGTCCTTCTGGGTGCAGGGGCCAGAGCAAGAAGGCTGGGTGGGCAGAGGAGCAAAGGCCCTACCTAACAGGCCCTCCAGACTTCAACCCATCCACGTGCCTTTCTGGAGAAAGGGCCAAGACGTGGGTCTCTATTGCCACTAGAACAACCCAGGTGGAACCACGCAGGCTTGCTCATTTACAAGAATTAGCCTTTAATTCTGAAGCCCTAGCAGAACTGGGATAGGAAGACGGTGGGGAACTGGGCCCAGGAGATGGGAGGACTGGCATAATCTGCCATCCCAAATTCCCTAGCCAGGTTCAGGATCCCCTGCATGAGGCAAAATGGTGGCGACCGAGGCAGAGATTAGGGAAACAGGGTGGAGGGGGCATAATGGGGGAGAAGGGGCCGAGACCAGGTCACCCAAAGTGGTGAACTGCACCGCCCCGAACTCCTTAACCCACCCTTTGATTTGGGTTGCAGGCCGGGCTCCCCAGAAAGCCTTGGGCCACACCCCAGCCCGCGCCTCTCACCCCACGCCCAGCCTCTTAGGGGCGCTCTACCTGCCAAGCCCGGTGAGGTTGTGCATGGTCTTGGTGAGGGTTGTGACAGGCGAGGAAGCGATCGCGCGTTGCGGGGAGCCCAGGGGGCCTCGAGCTCCCAGGCGATGGTGGCCCGGACGCTCGGCTCCACCCCGCACGCCGGTCGGGCTGAGACCCGAACTCGGCGTGGGCTCCGGCTGAAGCAGCTCCATCACCGCGGGGTCCGCAAAAGGCTGGTCGGAAAGGCCTGGCGCAGGGAAGCCAACAGACGCCGGGCACAGCTGGCGGGGACCTGGGAGAACGCCGGCCCAGGGGAAGGGGGAGGGAAGGAGGGAGAGCAATGGGGCTGGGAGCTAGGGAGACAGGGAGGGTGGGGAAGGATGCAGGGACCAGCCCCTAGTCCGGGAAGTCTGACTGTAGTTGCCACCTCCACCTCCTTATATATTCGAAAAATAACAGCGGCCGCGCCGCCGGACGCCGCCAATGAGGATGCGGGCTAGAGGAAGGCGGGGCTGGGGGCGGGGCCGGGTGGAGAGGCGCTGAGCAGGCCCTGACCGCCAGCGGGCTTCCAGGCTCTGGATGAGGCGGGGAGAGTTGGGGTTTGTCCCACACCTTCTTTCCCCGCCGTCACCTCCGGCCTGGGCGTTAGGATCCTGACCTCCTGTATTCCGTTTCTGTCCGGACGTTATCCAGAGTTAACACATCTCCAGTGGAGAGGCCCCCCCACCCCACTCCCAAGGAAAGCCACAGCCCCCTGGAAGGCGGAGGGGGGAAGGGACGGTAGCGAGGGGGTGTACTCCGAAAGACCCTCCGTGATTTCACTTCTAATAACAATCACCAGCAGCCACACGGCACGAGGAGTTTGCCCCGTACAGCTGCGCTCCCTGATGTGTGTGTTCGCTATCCCATTTTACAGACCTGGACGTAGAGGAGTGGAGAGGTTAATTAGCTCGTCCAAGGTCATGCAATTGCACCAGTAGTGTTGCCGACAGACATTCGCACTCAGGCGTCTCTGACGCCGCAGTCTTCCTGCCCCGGCGACCCGCAGCCGAACTGTACCCAAGTGTAATTTCCACGCCGAGCCCCTGCTCAGGATGTGGGGCGGTATTGGGGGCGAACGCGGAAGTGATGAATGCTTCCAGGGACCCCAGATTGGCGGTGACCCCAAGGAATCCAATATTCCCTGTTGGCCGAGAGAGGGCTCCACTGGTTGGATGGGTAGTAGGGGCTCAGCTCAGGGAAGCAAGAGTCTTTTCTGTGCAGCCTTGGCCATTGGGGCTGGGTCACAGTGGGCTCAGAGAGCGGGGACAAGTGGGATGGCCGAAAGGATGGACTGACTGGTGGTGGGCACATTGGCAGACTTGGGGAGGCAGGGCTGTGAATAGAGACCAGGGTGGGAACAGGCGACCTATCCTTCTCTCTATATTTTGCCTAGCTCCTGTGCTGTGCTAGTCGTTGGGCTGCATGCTGGGTAGAGCGGAGTCTTGAGTTCATGGAGCATAGATGGGGTCCATATCAGGACCCCCAGTGACTCCTCACAGCCGAGGAGGCTGTGACTACTCTCAGTACTTAGGAGCCCCTGTGAAGCCACCCACCCCAAAGACAAAAATAACAACAACAAACTACCCTGAGGGCTACATTTTCAAAATCAACACAGCAGGTGTGTGTGTGTTTATGTTAATACTTTTCAATCTCTTGAAATCCCACAATCAGAAGATCACCACTGTGCCAATGGCCTATGGCCACGACCACAGAGGAGTCATTCCAGAGCATTCCACATACCAACTCTGTCTCCCTGAATCTCTTTTTACCAACTGGATCATAAATCATGTGTTCAATTTAAGAACTATTCAATAAAATAAGTTAAAAGAGCTTACAAAAGGAGTTATTGAAGCAAACAACCAAGTCCCTTCAGTATAAACCCTCCTCCAAGACTGAAACTCAAAGGAAACACACATGAGCAGGCATGTAAGCTTGCTGGAGAGTTGGTCTACTGCTGAGTGGAAGAGGGAGAAAGGCAGCAATAAAGACTTGGGTTCAGTTTGACCACCTTCCAGGTCAGACTCCCGTTGACCTGGAGATGAGAGAGAAAAGAGGAAGGGCTGGTTGGTTCAAAGTGTGGTGAGACCTGGGGACTCCTGAGCCCATGGACAAGGACTTAGCCATGGAGGGCTAGAGCCGAGAATGAAGCATCCAGCTAATATGAAGTGAGGGGAGAGGCACAAAGACGCCCAAACTTGCAGATAGTACCATTCAACCTAGCATCGATGGCTTGATGATCAGAACGTGACTGTTGTTGTTATGTGCCGTGGAGTCAGTTCTGACTCATAGCGACCCTGTACAGGGTTTCTGAGGCTGTAAATCTTTACGGGAGCAGAAATTCTCATCTTTCTCCCGCAGAACAGCTGGTAGTTTCGAACTGCTGATCTGAGGCTAGCAGCCCAATTCGTAACCACTACATAATCAGACAGAGCTCCTTAGAACTCGACTAAAGGAAGATAAACAAAAAAAAAAATTCTTTTGAAAAAGGAAACAAGTGTAAATTGCTACAATTTGATGAACTTGACCTATACTTATGGATGTAGTAGCTCAAAATACCAACTGATAGGGAAGAGGTCTTCACGTCAAGTATCAATCCTATCCCCTCTGTATATGGGGGGGGGGCTATAAAGGCACGAAGTGAGTGGTTTATAAGTTTTCAAAAGGGAGTTTAGTTTCAGAGTGTGCGGGGGAAGGTAAAATAGTTTCCATCTTGTCTAGATAGGTCTGGTGAAAGGAGATGGGGATAAGATTCTTATGATTCAATAGTGAGTAATTGTTATCATTACTTACTGTGATTGTCACAACTGTAAAGGTAGAAGTTCTGTAACAAAAAGGGGGGAGTAGTTATTCTTACAGTCCAGGAACAGTGGACCCTAGGACCATCAAAGGAGAAAAGCATGAGTGGAATGAGGGACCCTATCCAGAGAAGCATCATGGAGGCAGAGATGAGGACCTGGAGAGAAGGAACAGCTGAGGACTCTAGACTTAATGGAAAGAGAAAGGAAGTATGCTGGTGGCCAGGAGGCAGGCTTGCAGAATATGCCTTTTGGTTGTTTAAATGATTATATATTCCTGAGTGTTTTTGTGTACATTCCCCCGCCCAACAAAAAAAAACAATAAAACCAGAGGGAATAGAAGCAAATACTATTGAATGATGATGCACAGACAAGATTGTAATGATTGCAATGAAACGAGTGTAAAACCGAAGTTCTCCCATGTAAACTATCACTCAATTCACAATAAAAACTTTTTTTAAAAAAAAGCAAAAACCATATGGAGCATAGTTATACTCTGATAGACATGGGGTCACCGTAAGTTGGAGTCAACTCAATAGAAACTGGTAGTTCCAATGTGACTTAGTTTTTTTATGTGATTTTGCATTATCTCCCTTTCAAACAGTAAGCTCCATGTTGTGGTTGTTAAGTGCCATCGAGTCGTTTCCGACCCATAGCGACCCTGTGTAAGGGTTTCCAAGGAGCAGCTGGTGAGCTTGAACCACTGACCTTGCAGTTCAAACTGACTTTGCAGTCTGGCGCATTAACCCACAAGGCCATACCAGGACTCCCATGAGGCAGGGAAAATTCCCACAAAATAGGGATAGAAGGACATTCCTTGACATAATTAAGGCCTTATATACAAAACCAACAGCCAACATTATTCTCAACAGAGAAAGACTGAAAACATACCCCCTTTTAATGTGAACAAGACAAAAAAATGCTCTTTATCATAACTCTTAATATTGTACTGGAAGCCAATGACAATAAGGCAAGAAAGGGAAATAAAGGGCATTAAAATTGGTAATGGAGATATAAAACTATCTCTATTCACAAATGACATGATCCTATACGTAGAGAATCCCAGAGAGTCCAGAAGAAAGTTACTGGAGTTAATAGAAGCCTTCAGCAAAGGGGCAGGGTACAAGATCAACACACCTGGATTCAGATGGGCTTGGCTCCAGACCTACAGAACCTGCAGAGTCACCAGATCAGCATTTACCCAGACACCCTGCCCCCAGCTGCCCTGTGGGCCTAACGGTGAAACCAGCTCCATCAAGGGCCTCCACAAACCTCTTCCGGATTGAGTGACCTGGACATAGATAACTCAGAAGCCAATAGGAACTCCATCTAGGGCCAGGAACTTTGTTGTCACATCCCTCCACCAACCACCTCCTGGGGTCCTTGGTTTGCTGGCGCCTCCCAGAATTTTACCTGTCTGGGTCCAACAGCTGCACTGTCTTTGTTTTTGTGTTTTTTTTCGGGTTTGGTTATTTTTGTTTCATTGTTTTTGTTTATTATTTCGCCTCCTTCTGCTTCTCTTTCCATTCCCTTGAATTTTATCCTTTTTATCTCTGCTTTGTTTTTTCTTTCTTCTGTTTCTCATTTCCCCTCTTCTCCCTGTCCCTTTTTTGATCTTTCTTTACTACTCTTTCTTTCTCTTTTCATCGTCTCTCTCCCTGATTTTTCTAAGAATTTTTTTTTCATTTTTATTTCCTCTCTAATTTTTCTCTTCCATAGTTCCATTTTCCTGCCCCTCTTTTTAACTATTCCTAAGTGTTGTTGTTGTTGTTTTCTTTTAGTCCCTGTCTTATTTTTTCTTTTCTATAAGACGTTCTTAGCATAGTGGTTACGAGTCAGGCTGCTAACCTCAAGGTCAGTAGTTCAAAACTACCAGTCATTCCGTGGGAGAAAGATGAAGTTTTCTGCTTCTGTAAAGATTTACAGGGGTGCAGGGTCACTAAGAGTCAGAACCAATTCCACGGTACTTAACAACAACAACAACAACAACAATAGCTCCATTTCCCTGTCCCTCTTTTGTCTTTAT